GTGTAGTTCTTGACTCTCGGGCCACCAACCGAGCATCGCAATGCACGATGGCCGAGAAGCCAAGATTACACGAATCAATGTCAATGAATGCACAAATAACACATAAGGGCCTTAAACTCTATCATGCATGATCAAGAGTGTCAGCGATCGAGAAATGAGGCACGTTTCATCACTTCAAGTATGAAACGTTCATCGTTTCTCGTGTTTGGATTAACACCCTATCCAAACACAATGCAATGCAACTCAAGCATGCCAAACACAATGCAATGCAACATGAGCATGTCAAGCACAATGCAATGCATGCACATGCAAGTAACATGCAAACACAATGCAATGCAAAAACATGCAAACAACATGCTATTCTACCAATGCTAGGATGGCATGCCCAAGATTCTATCATGCAAACAATGCATGCATGGCAAGTTTAGAAGCTAAGGCATCAAAGCTAGGAAAGAGCATCTCACAAGAGGCATGCAATACAATGCTCAATGGACTTAAACCGAATATGGACAGACCTAAATCATGCCAAAACAGTGGCCAAAATGCTATGAAAGGATGGTATGTAAGGCAAGATGGTGATGCTCATGCAATGGCTCATCAACTAAGCATAAGAGCACAACTCTCTAACATGATCAAGAAGTGATAAACATGGAAGTGTGATAACACTATATGCTCTGAAATCATATATGAAATGATGCCAAATCATCCAAACAACACAAGCATAGCATGCTAGGGACATGAAAACACAAGGCTAGTCAAGCCTATTGCACTACAGCTATGCAATACATGGACCATAAGGCCAAGAATACCCAAAACAATCCTAGAGCATGTCAAATCAAGGCTAAAACATGCACGGAGTATAGCCAAAATAGGATAGCATGAAGGGCATGAAGCATGGAGTATGCAAGGCCAATAAGGAGGATTACACTACACCTACCAAAACCAAGCATGAGATGACTTTACCAACAAAAATCAGAGTTGTAACATGGTAAAACAAGACCAAATACACACTGAAATGATAGCCCAAAAGCCTAGGCAAGATGACATGCATATTGGCTCCTACTTAAGGCATAAAGTACCAACCCTCCAAAGCATTGAATGAATGAAAGATGTGAGGGCATGAAAATCAAACATGCTCTGAAATCACATACCAAATGATGCCAAATCATATGAATAGCCCAAATAATGCATGCTAGTGGACTCAAAACACAAAGCTAACAAACAAGAATGCACTATGGCTACACGAAGCAAGGCATGCATGACCCAAAACACTTAAATCAGACCTTAAGCATGCTAAAACATGGCCAAAAGTTTGTTGAGATAGGTCCAAAATATGTTAGAAAGATGAGCTATCAACACAAGCATGTAAGGCTAGTTTGCAAGGATTACACTACAAGTGTATAGAGCATGCAACGGTGGCCTAAACTAAGCCAAAACGGAGGTATGCCATACTGAAATAAGGTCAAAAATAGGTTGAGATGGAGCCAACATATGCTAGATAAACATACTCAAACATGAGGCCAACAAGGCAAGCAACCAAGATACAAGGAGAGGGGATGACCCCCTCCTATTGGGCGGGTTGGGTGATTTAGAATTATCTGAGGATATGACTTAAAATATTGCAAGCTAGGGGGAATGACCATATATCCAACCACATGTAATAGGGAAAATATGTTATATAATGTGATGTTTGCAAAATCTGTTATCAAGATTGAACTCTGTTTATGGATCACATCACTATGAATGCATCATTATGCATCAGTATGAGGCAGTTGAATATGTTGGTATTTTTTATGTAGGTAAAAAAATGGCTTCATCTTCTACTAATAATAGGAACATAAGATTAAAGCCATGATTGTGTGATTATGGAAAAACAGCTTCCATGTATATTGTACGAACCAATGAGAATGAAAATCAAGGATGTGCGTTTTTTGTTTGCCCAACAAAATATGTAAGTATTTGTTATATAAATTAATCTTTTACTTTTTACAAATTTCATTTGTCTGATTTGGTTAACAGATTCTTGTGCATTGTAGAGTGCGAACGAACACTACAATTGCTTCAGGTTCGTAGATGATGATGACGACGACATTACCTCTACAATCCGTTCCAATGTTGGACCTCGGACAGATATAAGAATAGAAGAAATTAATGATCTAAGGAGAAGGCTTGGTGAGATGGACAATGTAATTCATGAGCATGATAGAAGGCTTCAAAGGATGGAGAAGATTTTTAAGGCAATGACTTATGTCATTGTATTTTGTGTATTTTTGTACTTTATCATGTAAGTGACTCAGTTGTTAGGTTTTGGACCATGTTATGAATGTAATCTATTTTTCTACTTGTTTTGTATTTTGTTGTTGGTGCTTAAAAATCTGTTGGTTGCTTAATTAATAGGTGAAAAATCTGTTGGTTACTTATTTAATAGAATTATGTTTGTGGCTAAAAATCTGTTGGTTATTTAACTAATAGGTGAAAAATATATTGGTTGCTTAATTAATAGAATTATGTTGGTTGCTTAAAAATCTATTGGTTGCTTATGAATGTAGACTCTGTTATTATATATGATGGTTGCTTAACAATGTGTATAATATGTATAATGTGCACATTTCTTTGACTTCTATTGAGATGTATATTTGTTATTGAGATGAATATTTCAAGAATCTGTTGGTTTCAATGAGAAGCATACACACAGGTTGAAGGACCTTGAATGAACCTATTTCTTTCAAGAAATCTGTTAAACCTGTAATTGCTTTCAAGAAATCTGTTGAATCCGTTGAACCTGAAATCTGTTTCAAGAAATCTGTTGAAGGATCTTGAATGAACCTGTAATTCACACATACATAAATAAAAGGGAACAACAACTTCCACCAATTCACACAGACATGAATAATTTGCACAGACATTGTGTTGAACCTGTAATTCACACAGACATAAAGTCAACAGGTTTCTTTCAACAACTTCCACCAATTCCACCAATTTTCAATTCAACAAAGACGTACACACAGGACCTACAATTCACTCAACAAATTCAACAAAGACATACACACAGGACCTACACACACACAGGACATACACAGAACTTGTAATTCAATTCAACCTAAAATGGGACAGCCACCAATTCCATCAATTTTCAAATGAAGCCAAACAATCCGAAGTTTACAAATGAAATTCATGTACAATTAGCACTTCGAAACTAAAAAAAAAAGGGACATTCGGATCCCTATCGATGTTCAAGTCAACAAAATTTGATGATACTATCGAACTTTGACTGCTAATATTGTTGACCATTCCAGCTTGAGTATGAGATGTGCTTCCAATTTCGTCCCCAATTGTGCTAACCAATGCCTGTAAAAATAAAGTAAATATTACAAAAAAAATTCCACAAACATATTCACCAATATAAAATTTAATTTGTCGTAAAAATACATTCAACACGTACCGGTACATACATACTGTCTTGTGTGGCATCCATACAAGGCAAATAGTAAGGTTGATTTGGTGGCACCTAATGATGAAATAGTAACACAAGTTAATTAGTAATTTGAAGCAATAAAATTAAAATTGAAAAAAAAAACACGAAACAACCTTCATATTTAACATGTACTGGTTCATACATAGTGTGTTGCACGCCTCCCGTACAAGGAAAGCTTAACTTACGAGGTTTACCTTGACGCACCTTCTGACCCTATAGTACCAGACATTGATGAATATTTTAAGGTTAACAAATTCTGAAATATACATATGTAGTGCGGAATGAAAAATGTACCTGTATTGGATTAGCCTTCTTATTCTTTCCCTTTAACCGATTCACTATTGCATTAACCTTGCTAACCTTCCATTTCGTACATGGACGACCTCTTCGTTGAGCAACCAAAGGACTGAGTACCTTGTGAGTGATGCTTTCTCTTGTAGTATTGATACGAGGTGGACTTTTTGGTGAAGTACGGGAAGGTGGTAAAGTACTACTTGAAGGTGGTAAAGTACTAGTACTTGGCACATTACTCGCACTACTTGATTGAACTGTTCTCACTTCATCCTTGATTTTCATCAACCCAAGTTGAATCACTTTGTATTTACCATCATCATTGGTAGCAAGTTCTAGGATCTCATCCAACGTGTTGTGATAGTTATCATGCAACTTTGGATGTAGAGAAGAGCCAAAGTTAGTATATGTGGTTGGAATGCATGTGTAGCCACTTTCCAAGTCTTTTCTCCATCTCGAAACAATGACTTTATTTGGCACCTCATAAATGGATCTCTCAATGAGCACACAAACTGAATGGGCACACATAATACCTCTAAACTCAAACAACCGACACATACATTAGAGCTCACATTCAGTTGAATTAAAGTACACAACAAATTCCACTTTCTTCATCCTATCACCCACAACAACAGCCTACCTCACATGATAGGTACAAATTACTCCCTCTTCTTTGATAAGATTTGCATGACAATACACTAGACGCTTCATTTCTAGTTGAACTTCTTTAAATTTTGAATTAGTGTAAGCTGCACGAAATTGCTTCTCAAAACGATACACTGTTAAGCAATCATACAATTTGTTACGAGACTTAAAATCTGCTTTTGTCTCCTTCTCTACCTTACTTCACAATGCATTGTCATATTGCTCAACAAATTGCTTTAAGGTTGTCTTAGAGTTCACATATCTATCAAAGAATGCATTCATATTCTCACTTCGTTGTGTAGTTAACATGCCAGCCCAAAATATGTTTTTAACATAGGCAGGAATCCACTTATGTCGCTCACAGTATAATACCCCCAACCACTCGTTATCATTCAAATTGAAATTTTCAATCATTGCTTCCTTGTGTTCCTCAAATTCATCTTTTTTGAATGAATCATAAACTGCATTACTCGAAGTAACCTTTATGGACTCATATTGCAAATAACCAAACCAAACCAAACGAAGCCTTAAGTCCCATCAAACCAAACGAAGCCTTCATAATATGCCATAAACACCAACGATGCCGAGCCTATGGGAAGACAATTTCTATGGCATTTTGCATAGTTCTGCACTGGTCAGTTATTATCGCTTTTGGGGAAGTATCTGACATGCAACTTAACCATTCTTTGAATAGCCAAACAAATATCTTTGTGTTCTCATTACTTAGCAACCCACAACCAAACAAAATTGACTGTCCATGGTGATTAACTCCTACAAATAGAGCAAACAGCATATCATATTTGTTTGTCAAATAGGTTGTGTCAAAAGAGACAACATCCCCAAATGCTTTATAACCCGCCCTACTTCTTGCATGTGCCCAAAACAAGTTTCGCATGCAACCATCTTCATCAAGGTCAATTGTCGAATAGAAGTTCGAATTTTCTTCTCGCATTTTATGAAAATAAAATGTAATTGATTCGGCGTCTCCTACCCCAAGTCTCAATCTTCTAGCATTCTGAATATAATTCCTTGCATCTTGTTCATCAAACATTAATGCCTTATATCCCCCCGCTTCAACAACTATGGAATGAAAATTCCTAGCAACCCCAATCCCTGCTGCATCGTTAACTTCTAGTCTCCTCTTCACCGGAGTAAGAATCCTCTTATTCATTGGAAAATGTCGTGAGTCAGTCGGAATCAAATCATGAGTGTGCTCAAGCGCAGCTATGGTTAACTTATATCTTCCATCTTTTTGTAGAGTGGCTTTAACCCTTTCTTTACAATCTACTTTTCACGACAAAGATGGTTTGAGGGGATTTACTTCTGATCTTTTTGTTCTATTCTATGCCCGAGTACATTCAATTCCAATGTACTTTACTTCCCCATCCCTTGTTACTTTTTGTGTTCTATAAGCTATAGCAAATCCAAGTTGTTTCGTATATTTTGCGTAATATGCGTATATTTCTTGCTTTAAGATAAAATACATCCCCTTCTTCGGTTCTTCAACTTCACCACTCTCATTAAATTCAACATTGTTATCTTGTTCTTCAACTTCCTCACTCACATTGAATGAATTATTCATTTAATCAATATCCATTGTAGCTTCGAAGTGAAATAGAATAGAATAGACATTAAGAGAGCACAAATTATCATAGGCAGCATGAAAAAAAAATTTCAGTGAAGTCTAACACAACAAATAAAAAAAACATTGGCAGGTTCACTACATAATTTTTCACAGAGCAATAATTTTTCATAGAACATTGAATTATTCATTGAATCAATTTTGAAATTATTTAACATAGGAGCATTTCATGAAGTTCAGGAACATTTCATCAATTTTTTATAGAACATTGAATTAAGGAACATTTCTCAGTGCAAATTATTTAATCATGATGTTCACCACATAATTTTTCATACACAGAACATTGAATTATTCATTGAATTAATTTGGAAATTATTTAACATAGGAACATTTCATGAAGTTCAGGAACATTTCATCAATTTTTCACAGAACATTGAATTAAGGAACATTTCTCAGTGCAAATTATTTAATCATGAAGTTCACTACATAATTTTTTACATAATTGTCATGGATTAATCAATGAGTAATGAGATTTTAAAAACAAAGGGTCGAAATTAATCATGGATTTTTCACAAAACAACAATGTTCATGGATTAATCATGGATTTTTCACAAAACAACAATATCTAAATTTTTCACAGAACATTTTTCGTGGATTAATCATGGATTAATTTTTCACAAAACATTTTTTCATCAACAGAACATATTTTTCATCAACAGCAATGTTCCTTAACAGTAGCAGATTTCATCAACAGATTTTTCTTTTACATTTCATCAAATATTTCTAGGAAGAGATTTTTGCAGAGTTCAGTGTGAAACCCTAAATTAAAAACAAAACCAACTAATGGGTCAAGGACCATGAATCATAAACAACATCAATCATAAGCAACAGAAAATAATCAAACAGCCTCGTCGGTACCTTTCGCACACGCAGCGGCAGCGGCAGTGCCTTTTGCACACACAACGGTAGCGGCAGCCGCCGTCGGTACTAGTAGAAGCGGCATCAGCCTTGTCGGCGGCACCCTTTCGCACACACAGCCTCGTCGGCGTCCTCTCTCTCACTCTCTCTACTCTGTTAATTTATTTTTTATTTGAAATGAAATGTGTTGAGTTTTGTTTGTAACATGGATGACTTGTACAAAGAAATAGGGGTGGGTGTACAAAGAAGTCGGGCCTTTTGAGCCTTATTTCGAGTTACAAAACGGAACTGTTTAAATAATTTGAACATTTTTTGTCAGTGGTACTAGGGAGCCACGGTGACTATAGACTGTGAAATGAATGAGACGAGAGTGACAGTGAATTGGGAAAAGAGAAGAGTAGTGGTGGACAGAGGCATGTTTGCATTCATTCATCTATCTTGCATGCACCGGGCTTAGCGCATCATACTAACTGCATTGTATTTCAATTCCGAGTTGAATACTTGTTAGTTGTAGCATTTCATATGCCATCTTTAGAATAGCCGAGCCTATCAT